TTCTTCAGACAGTTCTCAGACAGCACATTAATGAACTCTCTTCAAAGATCATTCACGATGAACCAAATGAATGAATAAAACTTAAGTCCCAGGTTTCTGATATTCTTCAGACAGTTCTCAGACAGCACATTACTCATAATGAACACAAAATACAAAAGTAACACAACAGCTTCTCACAACTAATTCATGACTATCTTTTGCTACAAAAGTAACACAACAGCTTCTCACAACTTGACCATATATCTTGAAATGACCATATAGTTAACAATAAAATCTATATATCAAAATAAGGAGTTTCAGGCCATCTTTTTATATTGTATAGTTAAAAGTGAGTTGCAGGGAGAAGAAAAACTCACATTTAAATGCTATTGTCTGAAATTGTCTTTAGAAGCATTTAATCACTGGATCATACTGCAGCTATAAGACATCCCCTTTCAGCTCACTGGAATCCAGTTCTGCATGGTCCAGATGGAAGGGAAAATAAAGAAATGAGGCAGATTAGAAAGGCACTATCATGTAAATAACAGTTAATCTGACACATGAAGATCAATGCATTCTGTATAACACACTCTAGGACAGTAAAATGAGATGAAAGATTTGGGAGAAGATTAGACCTGGTTAGTTTACAACCTAGATAATTCACTTTGGAAAACCCAGATCACTAGATATTTTATGTTCTAGGGAAAAGATAGCATGAAATGTTCAGATATGCTGAGTTCTAATATTAGAAAAAGATCCTACTGAACATATAAATGATGGGATGCTCACATAAATATTTTAAAACAAACAAAAAAAAAAATCAAGCTTAACAAAACAGGTGAATGGAGGTAGTACAAGGGAAGAAAGAGGACTGGACAGTCAGACTCAACGGGAAAGGACGAGAAAGAGCTGTACCTTAACCCAGAAGAACTTTAAGCCAGAATAAAGATGTCATTTTAACACAGGTGAGTCAGACCATTTCCCACAACGCCGACTAAGTGCCTGTGCCAGCAAAGTGAAGATGTAAACAGAGGCAAGATGAGTGGTGGAATAAGAGCGACAGCTTCTTCCAGCCCTGGGGGCTGACCTGCCACTTTGCAGTTCTTAAGCTTGTTTTTTAAAACATAGGTAAAACTACAGCCTAGAGGTCTGGCTTTGTAACAGCCCAACCTATTATTCAAAAACTATGTAATGTGTCTGTCATGAACCTGAGAAGATGCATTAATAACCTGGAGTTGTGCTTTTGTTGATTTATTGTACTAAGTAAACAGCAGGGTCCCTGTTCCCCCACTGCTATACAAGAATCATACAGGAATTCTTAATAGTCTAACAAAAAAATTAGGCTATATTAAATCAGTATTAGTTCTGCTCGCTGGTATTTTCTTGCCTGTTTTACCACTCAGAGTAATTACTTGTTCCACTGTAAACATGGAGGAAAGGAGGAGTAAACTTTCCACTTCCAAGACATTTAAATATATAAATGGTTAATATTTCCTCTCCTTTTGAATTGTACAAATGGACCTAGACCACAAAATTTCACCAGCAGCTGTTTCCTTCAGCCTCTAAAATGCCATTTCTCTAAATTACAAGCTAGATGACTTTCTACTATAAAAAAAAGTTAAGATCAGAAATTGAAATTTTCCTATATAGAGGTAACTCTTCACACAGGGACTAACAGATTCACTTTTCAATTATTTCTGATATTTCAATCAAAACCTCAAGGAAAGAGAGTTATTCTCCAGCAGGCAGATTGTATGCATATAGAAAGAGAGGTAAAAAAGCAAAATTAAAAACAGTGGAAAATTAATTAGGAGTGAAATTTTCTTCTAAAAGGAGGGCACACAGACCAAACCACAGAGCTATCACATAAGCAGACTGCATTTAAGTCTCATATATAGAGATGTCAGGGACTAAAAGTTCGAAAGATACCCTTTAAAGGGAAAAATAAAAATAAAAATTACAGGCTTCAGACTACACATTCTTCCTGATTGGGTCAGTTTCTTTCATAGAGCAATCTAATCTGGATTTTTGCAGTTAACCAGATTTGATGTCCCACTACGCAGAGGTGGCCATTCACAGCCATTTCTTAACTGAACAGGACTGTTCAATGCTGAACAAGCATTGACAGAAACCCAACAATTCAAGTCTAGGAATATTTTATGTACCTAATTCTTGACACTTATTTATAAAAGATATCTTGAAGTACAATGTCTTTCGGTAGAAAAGAATAATCCTAAAACCTACACACAATAAATACTTCTGTCATGAAATTAAAAACTGATAAAGCCAAAAATACTCCTGGCCATTCACCATAAGGACCAAAAATAATTAAGATTATCTAAGAATCACAGATCAATTTAGGTTGGAAGGGACCTCTGGGACTCCTCTGGTGCCAAATTTCAGCACTGAAGTTGAAGCATGTTGCTCAGGAGTTTGCACAGTTAATTTTGAAAGCCTCCACAGAGGGAGGCTCCACGGCCTAGATGAGCAACCTGCTCCAGTGCTTAACCACCCTCACAGCAAAATATTTTTCCTTATGTTCAACCAGAATTTCTTTTCTTGTAACTTGTGCATTCTGCCTTTCCCTCAACCTCTCAGACATCTGGGCACATCTTCTCCGTAATCCTCCCTCAGACAGTGGAAAATAGTAAAGATCTTTCTCTCCTTGTCTTCTCCAAGCAAAGGTCATTCACACCCCTCCACCTCAAACACCACAGGCTGCAGCTCCCTAATCACCTCCACTGGACTCTCCCCCATTCGCCAGCATCCCTCTCGTTCCTGTGGGCCCAGAACTGGAGACAGTGTTCTGGATGCAACTTTGGAGGTGCTGAGTGGAGGGGAACACTCCTTTCCTGAGGTGGCCCAGTGTGTGGTTGGCCTTCACCACCAATGCACAGGCCCGTGGTCAGTTGGCACTCTGCCTCCCGGTCCCTCAATCCAGGACACTCAGAGCTGCCCTTAGCAGGCAGCCCCAGGCCTGAGGGATGCCTGGGGTTACTCTTTGCCAGCTAAGAGATTTGGCATCTGCTTTTAAGACCTCATGAGAACTTCACCTGGCTTTGTATCTGTGACTACAGGTAGTACTCAGATTTTCTTTTAATGTTTTAGTATTTTAATGAAAGATTCCAACCACAAAATACTTTGTGATGACTGAAATCTGTACAACCATACACAAATGTCCAAATCAAAACAAACAAACAAAAAAGGATTCAAAAATATTTCCCCCAAAAGAACAAATTAGAATCAATTTTAGGTTACAACATCTGAATTCTCTAAGTCCCTTTAAAAAGCCGGGGCAGGGTGGGGGGGAAACAAGTTTACTGGCTACTGAACACGAGTGAGTTCTGTGCCTGGCATCAGCCTGTATACAATGATTTAAAATGACTAAAGCTGTCTCCAGTGGGCATTTTTCATTTCATTTATTTGGAGAGCTCAGTTTCAAAGTTATTGCTCATCTGTTTCAGTAACTCAATTACCAGAGTCAAGAATTAACTTGTCAAAGTAAATGTGTAAGCAGCAATTAAGTATGATTTTATTTGGACATTGTGACAGGTGCCTGTATTTCTACTGTGTTGTTTAGTGAATCAGTAAAAGACAAACAACTTCATACAACAGCTTCTGAAAACTTCAGAGGTTAGAATTCAAGTATCAGGTGCTACAAGAACATTTTGGGAGTATGTTCAGTGAGCACTTTGACATATGGTTTAGATGAGGGACTGGTACAAATATACACATGCTGACTTAAAACTGTAGTGTTTCCTTCAAGTACTTAGAGAAAAGGAACTAACACACATATCAACCTCTTTAAATTCATGTTTAATTGAAATGTTACAATCATTTTTTTCCTGCCTTAAAAAAAAAAAAAAGTTACTGATCCAAATGTGTTGTTCTGCCAGTTAAAAACACTTTGGAAAAAAAAACAAGTAGGAAAAGTTGAGCTCGTCTGAGTAGGTTTCACAGACATTTTCTACCCAAATTATGACACAATGTACACATCCCTTTTTAAAGAAGAAGCGAAGAAGAGTCATTTCCTCTTGGCTACAAAGCAATATGCCAAAATAACACTTGTTGTAAACTAAAACCATTTTCCACCCCCTTTCAGTTCTAAGGGCCAGATACAGTTTTTATTCCTAACTATGCATTCAAGTGTATTTCCAATGATTCCTGCAGAATTACACTCACATATCACATAAAGTGAGTAAAATCTGTATCAGAAAGAAAATTATGCAGCTTTTTCCCAGTTTCTAACGTCTAAAAGAATACATTTAAACATCTTACAAACAAAGTGACAAGGAAATTATGGTATTTCCTATCACAACCAAGCAAAGCACACAGGAATTAAGAATTAAACTGTATTAGTATATAAATGTTTAGGTATCTAGCACAGAAAGGTGCAATCCACAGTCCCCAGTTTAGGTATCTCAGTTTCTTGTATCATAAATGAGACACACGTGTCTCAGCCTAGAATTGACAAAGCTAGAAGTTAACTAGAAACAGTGAAGAAAAGACGTATCTGATATCCACAGATTGAAGGCTTGTGCTAGTCTGATGGATGATGGAGCTCTGACACAACACAAATATTAAAATACTGACAACAAAAATATCAAAGTCACACAGAAAGTGCCAGGAGCGGGAAGTTACAGCCAAATCAACAACCATGTTTTCAAATTCCCTGGAAGATACAGACAGGGCTTTAACTTTTGCCAGTAAATTGGGCGTTATATACAATTACACCTATACTAGGCCACTTCCTGCTCAAAACCATACCCAGAACACAGCACCGACAGAAACGTCTGAAGCCCATCTAAATTCCAGAAGATGAAATTTCTTCCAAGATGGGAGAGGTTTCAATAAGAGTCCAAAAGAGTGTCAGTTTCAGCTAATCAACTGAAATGAGTACAGAGTCACTGATTCTACTTTTTTTAATGCAACTATAGTGAAGTTAAGTAGCATAATGGCCTAATAACCATGATACTGACTTTACAAGCAAAAAACCCCAACCCAATAACTGTAATACTTACTCCAGAGAACCTGTTCCTGTTTCAGTCTGACTGTGTAGTGAAGATACTTGTATTAAACATTGTTTTCTTACTATGACCTTTGTTTTCTCAGAAGATTCCACAATATGACCTAAATGTAACCTAAAAAAGCAAAACAAAACATAATGTAATTAACCAAATGAGAAAATCAGCAATTTATAGTTAGTTGTTTAATAGCTCCATAAAATTTCTGTACAGAAATATCTGATTAACCATACACTTTCATTCTCTTTGAATACTACAGCACCATATTCACATTAACAATCAATTAAGTGAATGTCAAATCCTCAAATGCTTGGTTTCCAGAAATCAAAAAGGAAAGGAAAAAATAGGCAGAAGATGCCATTTATTCTAACAATATAGGTATCGTAGTAATGAATTACATAGTCAAAAATGTTCTTTAGCTGCCAGAAATATTTTTAAATTTTTGTATACTCAATTTGGATCAGATCAACAGACACCCATTGCAATTACAGACGAAAGAAAGGGAAATAGAGTTGCTGTCACTCTCCTAACCACATCTTCTCTTTCATGCTTGGCTGTAAGCTGATTTTTTGTTTTTTTAAAAACAGTGTAATGTCATCTGTAGCTCTATCGTAGAGAATTTGATTTGATGACACAAGTGATCCCATCTTCCTATTTATATTTCAACTTGTGAAACAGCAGGAGGAAGGTTCAATAGGTCTCCTCTTCCCAACATCCTGCAGATGTACAGGACAAAATACCTGCACAGAGCCAAGACATCATCTCCATTAAGCTCGACCTTGCAAACCAGGCTCTCAGCAAAGTGAAATAAAGAAAAACTATTTAAAATACCCTTGAGAACAAAGCAGTGCTATCGGTTTGCATTGATATTATCTACAGGTTTGTAGGCCAAGCCACAAAACACAAGGCCTGTAACTCTGCTCCTCCTCCCATAAACAACTCTTTTTCTAAACCACACTAAGCAGTCCACACCGTGCTTGTAGGAACACAGTGCAGGGCAGCGATCAGGAACGGGGGCTGGCATCCCCTCCCTCTCACACAGAGCAGAACCTCTCTGGGGATCAGCACGTAGAGCACTTTGAAGCAACTTAGATTTCTTCAGTGGCTTTGAGGGAAAAATAATTGCTGCCCCATCTGCTTAAGTCTGAAAAAATTAAGCGCCCGCTCCACGCAAAACTTTTTGAAAATAACCTTGTGGTGCATAAAGGTATGAACTAGTCCAGAAACTTCTCATTATTAAAGCCTAGGAGCCTACAGCAGGCAACAGCCAAAGGAGAAGACTACAGAAAAATGAAGGCAGCCTTACACAACGTAGAAATTGAAGGGCAAAGGAACACTTTGAACCTCTTAGAACCAATGCTGAAGTACCAGTCTGGCACTAATGTTTTACAGTCATGTAAAACATTTGTATTTATGGTGTCAGAAAAATGAGAATCAAAAGCTAGTGGCCAGAAGGCAGGAGCTTGGGATGGGGTGTGAAATGCATCATACTATAGATCCAAGGTAGATAGTCATTACTTCCAGAACTTCCACCTCAAGGAGCAATCTTTTGTGATTTGTGGCCCCTCAAAAGGGGGGACACAGTGAACAACCATACCCTGAGGCAACAGTAGGATGCTATTTTAACTAAGAATTGGATATCCCAACCTTCTAGAGGTCTGTGGCTAACTAGTCACGTGATGACAAATCCGATGGTGGGAGCCTAACACCATTCTAAGTTCATAGGGAATCTTTCACGAGAAACCTACCAGCACCAACGTAGCAAAGAATGATGTTTTGAAATTGCAAATATGCCACTTCTGGCATATATGATATAAATTTACCCTAACAACTACAACTGCTTCCATAGAGGTTGGCAAACCACAGAAAGGCCTCCTAAATACAATGTGGGAATCACGGGCAAAATGCACAACACTGGTTTTCTAACATCAGCACTGATAACACTGGAAAAAATTGTGACCTTTTTCCTTCCCTATACCATACTATCTACCCATTTTATTAAGTTCATAAATGGGAACAATGTGTAACACAGATGTGTTTGTCAGACTTTTTGACCAAGATTGCTTTTGAAAAAAAAAGAAACCCCCTGTACTGTATCCATCTCTAAGACACTGGCGAGGCAAAGAGAGCTAATGCTCCTCATGCCTTATTCAGAATTTGGTGAGAAATGAAAGAAACTTGTATTAGCACAGTGGGAAATGCACTGGCACCCAAACTGGGGGTTAGGCACATGCATAAAGCCCAGAAAATATATAGGGTCCATAAATTGTACACATTGAACAAACCAGTACGTTGTGAATAGCTCCTGCCAGTTTATCAGTTCCTGTGTTCTCCACAGCCTCTTGCTTGCTAGATTTCTGCTGGCTTCCCTACAGCTCTCCCTCCTTTTGCCCCACCGCTCTCACAGTAGTTTGCATCTCCACTGCATTCAGACATGACATTTCCAATAGGCTTCCTGCTGGTCCTCTGCAACCAGGCGCAGCAAGGACAGCCAGGGGGATGGCTAGTCCTCCAGACCTTACAACATCTCTGAGGTGCACAGACAAACTACCCACTACCATATTCAAGCATTAGAAACAAACCCTTCACTACAGGATGACAGTGTGCAGCTTGCTTTTTCCAGCTGACCAACCTTTCTTGTTTTTCAGACCAGCAGAACAGAGGTTATGAGAGATGGTTATCAGCACAACTGCAAAACACCTCATGGTCAACCTTTCATATGCCAGTACACTTTCTATCTTCAAAGCACGAGTGGAAAATTTTTTAAAGGCTGGTGACTATATCACATAATAGACCAAGGAACAAACCCTCCTGGCCTTCCAACTACCATCCACAGCTAGCGAGAACTCCAACTACGTAAGAAACGTGCAGGCACAGTGTCTAGGAACAGAGTAAAGACCAGAAAAACTGGAAGCAACTGTCTCAAGGAGTGAACATAAACCAAACACTGATGAGCACACACCTTTTCTCCACTGCATCTCTCTGGGGAACATGGCAAAGACAGAACTGTCGCTCAGACATTACCAATGGGGCCTCTTCATGGGTCACCGTTGACCTCGGGCACTTCCCCTTGGGCCCACACCCAACCACTTCTACAGAAAGCACCACCAGGGACCTAACACAAATCCTACTCCATTTCAGCTTGCAACTTTGGCATGAGAAGTTGTATTTTGCAAAATAATCATTTTTGTGAATTCTTTCATTACACATTTATTACATAGATACTGGTTTTATACAAATCATAACTGTTTTAGAGAAAACAATAACAATCTTAAGTAATTCAGGAACCACAGAACTGTGTGGTGGCAATCAAAACCCCTGTGACAATGTAGTAAAACTTTCTACAGTTCTATAGCTACCCTCTGTGCTTCTTTACATCCACAGAAACACATATGAACCTATGAAAGAAAGAGAAAAAAAAAAAAAGGAAAAAATAATTCATAAGCAATATAAGATGCCACATAAAAATTATTGGGCTAATTGTGGCCCTATGGTCTTCTACTCAATAACAATTTCTAGACCCATCAGACAGGCTCCTCTGTGAATTCTGCCAGAGCACACAAAGAAACAGTTTGTTAGTGAGGACACTCCAGGTTTGCTTTAGGAGAAGGAACTCTGAGTAGGTTGAATGACATGATACAGCAGTTCCTCGCATTATCTTCCTCTCTGCAAAGAAACCTCCTGCTCTGGAAGATGCACTGAGGAAGGCATCAGGACCAGAGCTGAGAGCACAAACAGGTGTTTTGGACAGTGATACACAGAGAAACATACAGCTAAGGCATTTTATAGCTTTTGGTCCACTTCTTCAGCTCCCTCAAAGCTGTCTTGTGCATTTCATGCTCTCAATAGCCCTGAAGATTGGACAAGTGAGTGTCAAGCTGAATTAGCTGCTGTAACAGCCACTTGGCAATGTAAAAACTCACCATTTCACAGTCTGAGTCAAGAGGATAATTAACCATCAATAAATACACCAAATATCTTCAAATGAAAAAAAACACTGAGAAATATAAAGCAACGTTCTTTTCCCTCATTCCTCAGTCCTAAGGTTCAGCAACAATAAGCACAGAATTCTTCAAGAACTTTTACTGCTGTCATTAGTTAAACCATTACAAGTTCAGGAATTAAAACAGCAAGAACAAGAAGAATTTGCAGCAGCAGGGTACATTTGGCTAAAGCATAGCAACTTCCAACTTCCACATACTGTGCCTCTTAGTGTAAATTTGAAAATGCAAGTTAAAGCTTCAATCAGAAAAAATTATTTCCTGTATGTTGCATAGTGCTGTGTGCAGACTGATCCACACAGGAGAACTGTACGTGAGCATCATTACACAGTGCCCATACTCTCTTCAACAGCCAAGACCAGTTCTGATCTTTTAAAGGTGGCAGTTTTTTCTGCACTAATATCAACAGTCAAAATATTGTATTGATAATGCACGCTCAGTAGTGTTCTTCCTTGTGTTCTGCTTTCACGGGTGTTGGCAATTGATCAAAACCCAATAATATTCTTTAAAAAACAAAAAAGTCTCAACCTTTTCTGCAATGTGTCACTTTAAAATGCAGAACACAATTGCTCTATGAAACCCACCTATCTTGTACAAAATCTTTTAACCAAAACAAAACAGGCACATAGCTACAAGCTCTCAGCCTGTAAAAATACCCACAGAAAACAAAACAAAACCAAGCAAAGCCAGAAACTGCAGAATACCAAGCTCTAACCCACAGGAGTTGCAAACAGAGATCTATGTCAGAACTACCAGTCAGCTTTAAGGCTTTTTCCTGAAGACGGACAAAACAAAGACCACAAAGCATTTTGATGACTAACTAAAAATGCAAGCCGGTGTTATTCTTTAAGTTAAATGGATAACAGTTAAAAACATAATCTGAAGCTAAATTCAGTCACACGTCTTCATTAAGAACAACTCGATATCATAATTACATTTATCCAGTGGGTGATTCAGAGCAGAAGCTCTGTACTCAATGGCTATGAATCACCCTCTCACGAAGCCACATTCACCCTACCCAGAGAGCCCGCCTCACCAAGCTATGGCTCATCTCTCCAACGTCCCCTTCAGCGTCCGACAGCCTCATTCAGAAGAAATTTATACACACACAAGCAC